TGTTGTCCCATCCAGGCTTTTTCCTCTAATAAATCTGTGGGTTCCTGCATTTTGTTTGTTGAGTCTTGTCAATTAGTGAGTTTTTTTGTTTTATCTCTGAGTCTCTGTTATGTGGTGAATGTGCTGACTTTGCTAGTGTGAGTTAACTTTGGCCTGTAGCTTTAACAAGGGGTATGTAAGTAAAACTAACCTTAAACTAACTTAGTCTACATATGCTTCTAATGCTAATTTGGTTTATACTAACTTAATCTATATGTTAATTTTGACTTAAAAACAGACAGGTGGGGGAGTTTTAAATTTCCTGATCCTCTTGTCAGACTTAGGGAACCACATTCCTACAAGATCACTAATTGGCTTTATTGCAATGGTTGGGGGTGATGTTTTACCCTTACACGGTACAGTAATAACAGTAAAACTCACGGCAGAGAAATTGAATACCGGCCAGTTCAAGGACACAAGGGAGAGCTCGTAAACTGGCCTTGCCTCAGTTTCTTCCCAGTCCAGGCCTTGCCTTAGAATGGGAGGCAGCATCCTTACCAGCTTGTGTTGCCTGCATGGCCCCGTCAGCTATGTCTGGGATTTGAATCACTGTTGGCTGTGTACGAATGCAGCATCTTATCTGCCATGCCATTTTCTAGTCCTTTAAGTAGCCATGCAAACAAGGCAGTGGCTGGCTCTCACTCTGGGCTCCACTGCACCCTCAGCAGCAGCTTTCTGCCTGTACTTGGGCGGCACTCCCAAGCTTTCTGGGGGCACAGTGGCAAACCAGCTGGACTTGCTATTTGCTCTCCTCCGAGAAGGTTGCACACCCATCTCTCTTGTTTTCTCCTCTGTGTAGTACGGGAACCTCTTTAACATCACTTTTGACCCTCTCCTGCTGCAGTTAGTGGAGCATTTGCTAATGAGTGAGTCAGTGAACCTTCATTGTGGCCTTTGGTGTAAGGCTTGTGTGACTTTTTTCCCCAAATAACTTTACTGAGATGTCACTTACATGCCATACACTACACCCACTAAAGAGTATCAGGTGAGTGACTTTATGGTGGTCCTCCTGCTTCAGCCTCCCAGTAGGAGCTGGGATTACAAGCATGCACAGCCACACCTGGATCTCTTTTAGATTAGACAGTCTCCCTGTGTTACACCTCAAACTCAGGTCCTCCTGCTTCAGCCTTCCTGAGTTGCTAGGATTACAGGTGCACAAAGTTGTACCTGGTCTTTAGGCTGGACTGGGAATCAAACCCAGGCCTCCTTTTGGTCCCAACCCACATGCCATTGTGGCTACCCCCCACCTTGGCTTTTTGATGTCACTGTATAGTGACCCTAACATTATAGTATAATCAGTTCCCTTTAGGGACCAGCAAATGGCATAATAGTTACTTCCCTGGACGCCCACGTAGTTGACCGTGATTTGAGTCCTGGACCCAGTGGTGAAACCTCATGTTGGGCATGCATGCCCAAAATTCAGAGAGAAAAATGGAGAAGAGATTGCAGCATGGCAACCACCCCTGGTGGTGTGTGGTTTCTCGCTTTCTGTCTCTCTCTGTCTCTGTAGTGAGCATACATGCCCTATAGCAAAAATCTCTTTAAAAAAGAACTTTAGGACTGGCAGGTGGCATAGTGGTTGGGGTGCTGGACCCCCACATGGCCGACTATAGTTTGAGTCCCAGACCTGGCAGCTTGCTTTCTCACTTTTTTTCTCTCTTGCTCTGTCCCTCTCTGGTCAAATTAAAGTAAGTAAGTAAAGTTAAATAAACTAATTCTTTAAAAAAAATTTAAAAAATAAGAATAGTTTCCCTTTAGTTCTCTTTGAGTTATATAGCATAAGAATCATTAAATTCTTTTACTGGAATGGAAAACTACTTACAAAAATGTTGGTTTTGGCTCAATCCTTTAGCCTTTAAACTTTCTCCAAAGACATTTGTTGGATTCTGTGATTTTTCCTAGGGCTAAGACCCTGAAAAGTAACCATGTTCTTTGGATCTGCATTTGTATTTCCATCTTTATCTCCCTCTGTTCTCTGTACCTGTGTGAAAGGCTTCATTGTTTGGCCCCATTGGCCAGAATGTATCAGGAAGTCTTTCTTCTTCTTTTTACTTTAGAGACAGGGTCTCACTGTACTGGTTGTCCCAGGTAGCCTTGAACCTGTGATCCTCCTTCCTCAGCCTTTAAGTAGCTGGGAATACGGAAGCATCACACCTGGCGAGAAGGCTTTTTTTCTTTTTAGGTTTTCCAGTAGGGTGTGTGCACTCACTAGAGAGAAACAAAGAAGGAACGTGAGAGATCACTTCCTGGGGGGATGGCCATGCAGCAGTCCCTTCTCCTTCATTCTCCTCTAGGAGTTTTGGGCTTGCATGTGTGCACATGTGCCAGGTGTGATTTTCAAGCCGCTGGGCCTGAGACTCAGACTGCATTTGGCCATGTGGGAATTCAACACCTTAGGAAATTTTTTGATGCAAAACTAGAAGACAGTGGCCTCTATGTCACATCACTCCCTTTCCCCCGTTCTCTCAACCTGCCTCAGAATCACCTTTCTAGTTGTAGAATATCAACCATATGGGGACCAGCATGGCGTAATGGCTATGTCACTGGACTCCCATGTAGTCGACCACTGTTCAAGTCCCAGACCCAGTGGCTTGAACTCACAATGGCTGGGTGCATGTGCGTGCATGCCCAAAATCCGGAGAGAAGAATGGAGAAGGGATTACGACATGGTCATCCCCCTGGGGGGTGATTTCTTGCTTTCTCTGTCTCTCTCTGTCTTTCCGGCGAGTGCACACACCCTATAGCAAAAACCTCTCTAAAAAAAAAGAAAAGAATATCAACCATGTGGATATACTCGCTGGGCTGATGACTGTCACATTTCTAATTATACAGGTTAGACTCGCACCTGGAGGTTAAACTTGGCCAGGTGTGGAGAAGGCAGCTTTATTATGAGTCTTACCTTCTTTGTGTCTGCTTCTGACACTGATCTCCAAATAAATCAGATGCCACACTGTTGTTTTGTGGTGTGGCAGCCCTTGGGTGATCCTGAAAGGAGCTACGGGGCTCTGAGCTGCCATGTGAGTTTCCCTCTGCATCCCCAAGAGAGAAGAACACACTCTTTTTCCAAGATAGCCAGCCCCCTCTACTCTTCCCGTGTAATTCTGGTTCATCTTGTATCATTCTCTCAGCCTCGGGAGAATGTTTTGGAGTATACTAAAGGGTGTCCACTGCAGTCTACGTGGCCTTGAAGGTTTGGCAACTCGCCTGGATCTCTGTATGGTATCATGAAAGTAACTGGCAAGACTGGCCAGTTAAAATCCTAAGACTAGAAACAATAATCTTTTACTGGGGTCAACAGGTAGCATGGTGGTTAGAGGTGTTGGACTCCTGCATGATTGACTATGGTTCGAGTCCTGTACCTGTTGGCTTGCTTTCCTGCTTTCCCTCTCTCTCTTTCTGTCTTTGTCTGGTTGAGTTAAAAAATAATGATAATGGGGCCAGCAGTTGGCATAATGGCTATGTTGCTGGACTCCCATGTAGTCGACCGCGGTTTGAGTCCTGGACCCAGTGACTTTAACTCATGCCTGGCGTGTGTGCATGAGTGCCCAAGATCCCAAGAGGAGAATGGAGGAGGAGAAGGGATTGCGGCGTGGCCATCCCCCTGGGGGGGATTTCTTGCCTTGTATTTCTCTGTCTCTCTCTCTCTTTCTGGTGAGCGCACGCACTCTACAGCAAAAACCTCTACCAAAAAAGAAAAATAATTATAATGATAATGATAAGTAAAATTAAATAAAATAGTTCTTTTAAAAAATAATCTTTTACTATAACTCAATGTAATTTCCACTTACTTCAAATGAAAGTTTATCTGAGCTTCTGTATAGGCAGAAATTACGTTACCTGATGAAAGAATTAGGACAAATTGAACATCTGAGGTTGGAAAGATAAAGGTAAACCTCCCAACAATATAAAACTAAGAGCAGGGCCAGCAGGTGGCATGGCGGTTGAGGGTGCCAGACTCCAACCATGGTTCCAGTCCTGGACCTGGCAGCTTGCCTTCTTGCTTTCTCTCTCTCTCTGTCTCACTTGCTCACTTGTTCTGTTTCTCTCTGATCAAATTAAAATAAATAAATAAATTATGTTATATAAAATAATTTAGAAAAAAGACTAAGGAACCAGCAGGTGGCATGGTGGTTAAGGGTGCTGGACTCCCACATGGCCAACCATGGTTCGAGTCCCAGACCTTGCAGTTTGCTTTTTCACTTTCTCTCTCTCTCATCAAATTTAATAATAATAATAATAAAAAATAAAGTTGAACAAATAATTCTTTTTTTTTTTTTTTTGAGAGATTTTTGCTATAGAGCGCGTGCACTCTCCAGAAAGACAGAGACAGAAAGTGAGAAATCACCCCCCAGGGGGATGGCTATGCCGCAATCCCTTCTCTATTCTCTTCTCGGGATCTTGAGCATGCATGTACACACCCCCAGTGTGAGTTTAAGCCACTGGGTCCGGGACTCAAACCACAGTCGACTACATGGGAGTCCAGCAACGTAGCCATTACGTCAACTGCTGGTCCCAAACAAATAATTCTTAAAAACAAAACAAAGAAAGATCTAAATGCTTGTTCACAGAAAAAGCATTAATAAAGAAAATTAGGAAAACTTTTCATCTGAAAAATCAAATTTGAAATATTGAAATTCTGGTTTCACCAATCAGATGAACAAAGATGTTTAAAAAAGAATTCTTTAGTTACAAAAAATGAAAGTGAGCCAGTAGGTCCAGGAGTTGGACCGTGGTTGGCCGTGTGGGAGTCCAGTGCCTTCAGCCACTACACCACCTGCCAGCCCCCACCCAATATATTTTAAAGCGACAGGTCTGGGATTTTAACTGCAGTTAACTACGTGGGCGTCCAGCGATGTAACTATTATGCCATCTGCTGGTCTTTAATTTACCTTTTTTAAAAAGTAATTATTTAATTAAATTAATTTATTTATTTGACCAGAGAGAGAGAGAGTGAGAAAGCAAACCATTAGGTCTTGAACCACCGTCAACCATGTGAGAGTCCAGTGCCCTAACCACCATGCCACTGCTGGCCCCCAATTTTTAAAATAGAAAAAATTAGAAACAACCAAAATACCAAGACTAGGAGGTTATTTTGATATACCATAATTTACTTACCTAATAAAATATTGTGGTGATATAGTTTTGTATTGACACTGGAAAGATTCATTCAAAAAATATTCATTAACTACTATTGGGTTGTCAGAAAACGCGTGACACATTTTTACATAGAAAAACATGGAAAAAAATGAGTCATGACTTTTCTGACAAGCCAATACTACTAATATATTTATTACCATGGGGTAAACAGTTTTATGAATAACTTACAAAGATAGCATATATAACTTTCTCAGAATATTTGTATGTTTTATGCTAATGTGTATAACAGAAGCTTAAAAGGAGAGACATCAAAACATTAGCCATAATTATCTTTGGCAGAATTAAAAGTAATTTGTTGGGGCTGGCAGGTGGCGTGGTGGTTAAGGTGTTGGACTCCCACATACATGGCGGACCACAATTCGAGTCTCGGACCTGGTGACTTGCTCTCTCACTTTCTCTCTCTTTCCTTCTCTTGTCATATTAACTAATTTAATATGACAAATTAAATAATTTTTTAAAAAAGCAATGTCTTTTTTTACATATATTTTATAGGTTTTTTTCTAGAATAGTCATATCTTACATCTATAATTTTTAAAATTTTAAAATAATGAAGAAAAATTATTAGAACCTCAAGAAAATATCACTTTGAGGCCAGTACCACTTTGTGGTGGTTAAGGTGCCAACTCCCACATAGCCAACCACAGTTTTGAGGGTCCCAAACCTAGCAGCTTTCTTTCTCTTTCTCCTCCTCCTCTCTCTGGTGAGCACATGTACCCTGTAGCAAATTAAAATAATAGTAAGATTAAATTAATAATGATTTCTTTGAAAAAATAAAAGAAAATATATTACATTGAAATTTGACGGTCTCTCCCAGTGTCTTCCAGGCTGCTGTATCATGAGTAGGTGAATCGTGTCAACTTCCTGTGTGTGGTGCAGCAGGTGTGGTGGTCTCAACACAGGTTGTGTAATCAATCGGCATCTTTCTATTTTAGGGCTGTTTCGCTGCAGCTTCTGAAGTGTTAAAACACTTGAAAGAACGATTTCCACCTAATAGTCAGCATGCCCAGGTAAGCTGCCTTTTGTGGGCATTAGATTTATTTCCGAAAGAAGCTTTTTTACTCTTAATTTAAAGCAGAAGGGCTGGCTGGTGGTGTGATGGTTAAGGTGGCTGGATCCTACATGCCCAGCCACTTGGTTTGAGTCTTGGACTGGCGGCTCAAATAAACATGCTGGGTGCGTGTACGTGCATGCTCAAAACCCTGAAGGAGAAATAGAAGAGAAGGGATTGTGGCATGACGGTCCCCATTATGGGATACTTTCTCTCTTTCTTTCTCTTTCTGTGTCTCTCTGGTAAGTCCTCTAATAAATGAATTAAAAAAATAAAAAGCAAAGCAGAATATTTTACAGTCTGTCCTTAGAAAAATAATATTGAGCTAAAAAGAAAATTGTCATAGGATGCATACAGTATATTACTTACTTATGCATGGTTTAGAAACATACTAGTTCATACTGTATATTGTTATATATAAGGATAAGTATATACACTGTAAAGTATAAAAACATTGGGACCGAGGCCAGCAGGAAGTGGTGTAGTGGTTAAGAGCGCTAGACTCCTGCATGGCCTACCGTGGTTTGAGTCCTGGACCTGGCAACTTGCTTTCTCACTTTCTTCTTCTCTCTCTCTCTTTCTCCCCTCTTTCCCCTCTCTCATCAAATTAAAATAAATAAGTAAAGTTAAATAAAATAATTCTTTAAAAAAAAAAAAAAACATGGAGACCAGCAGATGGCATAGTGGTTATGTCGCTGGACTCTCACATAGTTAACCATGATTCGAGTCTCGGATCCAGTGGCTTAAACTCACACCAAACTTGTGTGTATGTGTGCCCAAGATCCTGAGAGGAGACTGGAGGAAAAGGGATTGTGGTGTGGCCATTCCCCCTGGGGGGTGTTTTCTCCCTTTCTGTCTCCATCTCTGGCAAGCACATGTGCCCTAGCAAAAATCTCTCAAAAACAAAAAAAGAAGTATAAAAAACACGAATGGTAATGATAAACCCGTATCAGGGCTTGCTTTGCAAAGAGAGAGAGGGAATTAGAATTTGCTAAGGACTTCAGTACTATCTAGCAATATCTGAAGCAAATGAAGCAAAAAGTTGGCAACATTGCTGATTGGCATACCTATATTTGTGTTTTATTCTCTGTGCTTTTCATGTACTTGAAATATTTAAAATTTATTTTTAAATCTCAAAAGAATGTGTGAATTTGGGGCCAGCGAGTGGTGTGATGGTTAATGCACTGGACTCCCACATGTCTGACCATGGTTTGAATCCCAGATCTGGTGACTTGCTTTCTCATCTTTCCTCTGGCTTTCTCTCTGTTGCTCTCTGGTAGTCACACATGCTCTATAGCAAACTTAAACTAATAATAATAAATACAATAACTTTTTTGCCTTTAGGGCGCATGTGCTGGGGGGTACAGTGTTAGGGGAGAACAGAGACTGAGAGGGAAAGTGAGAAATCATCCCTCAGTGGGGATGGCCATACCACACTCCCTTCTCCATTCTCCCGGGACCTTTAGCACATGCACCTGGTGTGAGGTTCAAGCCACCGGGTCTGAGAGTCAAACCATGGTCAGCCATGTGGGAGTTCAGTGATGTAACCACTATGCCACTTGCTGGCCCCCCAGTAAAATAATTTTTGAAAAAAGGATGTGTGAATCGTAAGGATACTTGGCAAGCAAATCAAAATATCTTTTTTTTTTTTGGAGGATTTTTGCTATAGGGCGCTTGCGCTCGCCAGACAGACAGAGAGAGACAGAGAGACAGAAAGCGAGAAATCACCCCCCAGGGGGGATGGTCACGCCACAATCCCTTCTCATCCATTCTCCTTTCGGGATCTTGGGCACGCATGCACACGCGCCCAGCATTAGTTTTAAGCCACCGGGTCCAGGACGCGAACCACGGTCGACTACATGGGAGTCCAGTGACATAGCCATCACACTAACTGCTGGTTCCCGTAAATCAAAATATCTTTATCTCCTCACTAAACAATAAGGTGAACATGAACTGTTTTATACTTAATCATTGCTTTTTTTTTTCTTATTAGTTATGGATGCTGTGTGATCAAAAAATACAGTTTGATAGAGCAATGAACGATGGCAAATATCATTTGGCTGATTCACTTGTTACAGGAATTACAGCTCTTAATAGCATAGAGGGTGTATATAGGTAAGAAACTTTACAACCTCAGAATGAAATAAATTTCAAATGGCTTTATTTTCATTTCTTTTTTGTGTGCATTAATTGATTTACTTTAGCATAGGAAAAACCATTTTTTCTATTTATTACAGGAAATGTGAAAATACCAATAAGCAAAATGGAGAAAATAAGTATCACTCAGATAATCACTAACATTCTGATATCTGTCATTCTAGACTTTTTTCTTGCATGCATATGTACATGTGAACATTTGCACACACATTTTTTTCTTGTAACAAATCAGGCACAGTTCTTTCGCTTGGGAGGTTTACAGTCTAACTGAGGAAATAGGGATTCTCACTCCCAAAGTGACTGTAGTTAAAACACTTGAAACACATGCACATAACCACTTTTGTTTGTTTTGATTCTGTTTCAGAAAAGCAGTTGTACTACAAGCTCAGAACCAAATGTCAGAGGCACATAGGCTTTTACAGAAGCTGTTGCTTCATTGCCAGAAATTGAAGAATACCGAAATGGTGATCAGGTAAGGGTCTCTCGTGCGTCTCATGGAGATGTGCTGGTGGCTGTTCTCATCCCGTGCTTTCCTCTTGCGGTCAGCGTCCTGCTGTCGGTGGCAGAACTGTACTGGCGATCTTCCTCCCCCACCATCGCGCTGCCCGTGCTCCTGCAGGCTCTGGCTCTCTCCAAGGAGTACCGGCTACAGTACTTGGCCTCCGAAACAGTGCTGAACTTGGCTTTTGCCCAGGTAAGCTGATCTCTGTTTTTACAGCTCATATGCGTGCTCAAGAACTGGTGAGTCTGTTACTATTTCTTGGAGTTGAAAAGGACAATAATGAGCTTTTACTTGCTATCTTTAAAGTCTGGAAAAGCAGTCTCCTCGTGCGAGTCCTCCAAGGGAAGACTTTGGAGGCTCGAGCTGTGTGTGTGGTGACAAGCTGATTCCTCCCAGGGGCACTGGCTTTCCCAAGCCGTGTGTTTATTATTCCAGGGGACTCGGTGCCTCAGTGAGGACACCACATCATACTATGATTATTTGGCACAGAGGGATGCTCAACTTAGTAACAGGGTGTGTGAATAAAGAAATGAGGAAGTTAGTTTCATCAAGGCTTTAGAAATCAAAGTATATTTTATGTTGGTTTTCTTCCTCCCCCAGTGAAGTCTAGGAAAGAAGGGATTCTCTATATTTTAGGCTATGTGTCCTGGTACCTAGCAGGACATACACATCATAGGCTTTCAGTAAATGTTATTGAATGCGTGGATCAATCGTGAAAGCACAAGTTCTCCAAACTGACTATACATTAGAATTATTGAGAAGACTTAAGAAGTATCTTCTTTCCTGACTTTGCCTGGGACCTGAGTTAGGATCTCTAGAGCCCAGGAATCTTTTCCTGTTCTTTGATGTCATTATCTAGGAATTTTTTTTCTTATCAGATTCCCCAATGACTCTTTTTTCTTAAGATAAAATTTACCATTTTAGCATTTTTTTCTTTAGAGCTTCTTGCTTTAGGGCCCATGTGGTCACCAGAGAGAGACAGAGAGAGTAAGAAATCACCCCCCAGGGGGGATAGCCACACTGCAATCCCTTCTCCTCCATTCTCCTCCCAGGATCTTGGGCACGCACGCACACGCCTAGCATGAGTTTCAAGCTACCAGGTCCCGGACTGGAACAGCAGTCGGCTATGTGGGAGTCCAGCAATGTAACTGCTACACCATCTGCTGACCATCCCCATTTTAGTATTTTAAAGTGTACAGAGTAGTGGTTTTGATAATATTCACAGTATTTTATAACCATCACTACTGCCGATTCTCAGAGTATTTTTATTACACAAAAAGGGAACTTTATACTCCAGCAGTCACTCCCCCCTACCACCAGCAGCCCCCAATGCTCTCTCTCTGTGGGTTTACTATTCTGGATATTTCACATAAATGGAACCAGGTAACACTCGGGTGTGGCCTTATGTGACTGGCTTCTTTCATGTAGCATAGTTTTCAAGTTTCATCTGTGTTGTAGCATATAGCATGTATTAGCTTCATTTATTTTTTCTTTTTTTATCCTTTTTTTTTTTTTTTTTGCACCACAAGGCATATGCACTTGTCAAAGAGGGAGAGGGGTAGGAGAAGGTGCCTGGTGTGATTTTTCAAGCAGCTGTGGAATTGGCCATGTCCAGCACCTTAACCATGTCCCCTGCTGCTCCTCCACCAACAGTGAATTTTTTTTTTTTTTTTTTTTTTTTTTTGTTTTAAGGAATGTGTGCTCACCAGAGAGACTGAAAGAAAAAAAAAAAAAAAAAAATCACCCCCAGGGGGTATGGCCACACTGCAATCTCTTCTCCTCCATTCTCCTTCAGGATCTTGGGCATGCATGCACATGCACCGAGCACCCAGCATGATTTTTAAGCTGCTTAGTCCGAGACTTGAACTGTGGATAACTACCTGGGAGTCCAGCAATGTAACCATCCCGCCATCTGCTGGTCCACTTACAATGATTCTTATACAGCTAGATCAGACCTTCAGAATCAGCAGTCTAAAGAATATCAATACTGAATCTTTTCATAAAAACAGAAACCTTTCTGTAGTGTGCACAACAGCTCCCTACTATGTCTGTAGTCTGAGATCAGTCTGTCACACGTCATGTTTTCTGGGAGCGTTGTGCCCCTTATGGTGTATGGTACATGCCAGGAAAAAGAAAGCCAACGGTAGTAATTTAGAGACCAGCAGATGATGTAATGGTTACGTTGCTGGACTCCCACATGGCTGACCATGGTTCAAGTTCTGGACTTGGTAGCTTCAAACTCAGGCTGGGCACATATGCATGCCCAGAATCCTGAGAGTCCTGAGAGAAGAATGGAGGGGAAGAGATTGCAGTGTAGCCATCCCCCTGGGCGGTGACCTCTCACTCTCTGTCTCTCCAGTGAGCACTTGTGACCTATAGCAAAAAATGTCTCTCTAAAAAAAAAAAAAAAGGAATAGAGAGAATACCCAGGAGACCAGGAGATGTTGTAGTGGTTATATTTATTGCTGGACTCCCACATGGTCGACTGCAGTTCTAGTCCTGGACCTGGTGGCTTGAAACTCATGCCACACGCATGTGCATGCACACCCAAAATTCTGAGAGAAGAATGGAGGAAAAGGGATTGTGGCATGGCCATTCCGTTAGGGGGTGATTTCTTCTTGCTTTTTGTGTCTCTGGCAAGTGCATGTACCCTATAGCCTATAGCAAGAATCTTTCAAAAAAAAAGAGAAGAGGGACCAGCAGTTAGAGTAATGGCTATGTCGCTGGACTCCCACGTAGTCGACCGCGGTTCGCGTCCCGGACCTGGTGGCTTAAAACTCACGCCGGGCGCGTGTGTGTGCGTGCCCAAGATCCCGAAAGGAGAATGAAGGAGAAGGGATTGCGGCATGACCATCCCCCCTGAGGGGGGGTTCTCGCTTTCTGTCTCTCTTTCTCTCTCTGTCTGTCTGGTGAGCGCACGCGCCCTATAGCAAAAACCTCTCCAAAAAAAGAAATTAAAAAAAAAAAGAGAGAGAGAAGAGAAGAAAATAGCCAGAAATGAAGCCCTTCCTGGTAGTGGGTGCTGATGTGGGTTTGTACAGTGCCACGGTGTTTCTTTTTCAGCTCATCCTTGGAATCCCAGAACAGGCCTTAAGTCTTCTCCACATGGCCATTGAACCCATCTTGGCGGATGGGGCTATTCTAGACAAAGGCCGCGCCATGTTCTTAGTGGCCAAGTGCCAGGTGGCTTCAGCAGCTTCCTATGATCCACTGAAGAAAGCAGAAGGTAGGATTCTGTATGAAGATTGCTGGGCAGTACTATTCCAGGAAGCTTCTAAGTTTAGGGTCCAGAAGAAGAAAAGACATTAAATTTGGGACAGTGTAAGTTCTGAGTGTCCATGAATGTATGTTAACATTTCATGCAGCATTTTAAGTGCTTCCACATGTATGCTTGGCTGAAGGCTGAGGGCAGTGAAGGGTTATTTTAACCTCACCAAGCCAGGTGCCAGACTAGAAATCAGGACCCTTTTTCAGCCTCAACCTAGTGTTTTTACCTCCTCTCTCAAAAGAATGGGGAAAATAAAAGTATCTCATACGTGTTAAATAAATAAAGCTAGATACCAGGTTTGGGAAACAACTTGTACAGTGTTAAGTTAAATGTGTGCGGTGTTTTCCCTCCTTTCTGTCAGCTCTGGAGGCCGCCATTGAGAACCTCAATGAAGCCAAAAACTATTTTGCAAAGGTTGACTGCAAAGAGAGAATCCGGGACGTCGTTTACTTTCAGGCCAGACTCTACCACACCCTGGGGAAGACCCAGGAGAGGAACCGGTGTGCGATGCTCTTCCGGCAGCTGCAGCAGGAGCTGCCCTCTCACGGGGTGCCCTTGATAAACCACCTCTAGTGAAGACTTCCCTGCTGGGCCTCCGTGGATATGAGATCTTGGACTTGTTCCTCCCCCTCCTTCCTTGTAAATGATGTCTGTAACATCCTGTCAATAAACTGCATTCTTACTGGTCTTATTTTGTTGAAAGTAGTACATACTTGTTTTATTCCCCCTTTAGTCTCCTTTTGGTAGTGGCAAAGGATACCAACTTTTTGTTAATAAATGGCCGTTTTGCTAACAAGTTAGTTCAAGTGTCTAAGATGATGATCTTTGTGCGCCAGAGTGCAAGTACCTTGATTAGATATTGTGCGTGTTCCATCACCGTGTGGATTCGTTTAACATGTACTCTCAGACGAGAGCTCTTTTGGGAATCGGTAGTCCTTCCAGAGAGGTCAGTGCAGGTTTTTATGATGCTTAGATTTTCCATCTGAAGCTTCCCTGCATTTCTGGGCTGACCCAGGGTATGTTTTCCTAGTGGGGCTTACAGGCATGTGTCAGCCCCTGAGTGAATGTTAAGAAGGGAAAGTTTGGGGTCAGCAGGTAGTGTGGTTAAGGCAGCCAGATTCTCACATGATCAACTACGGTTCAAGTCCCACACCTGGTGCTTGAAAATCACGCTGTGTGCATGTGTGTGTGTGCCCAAAATCCAGAGAAGAGAATGGAAGAGAAGGGACTGTGGTATGGCCATCCTCCATAGGGGGTGATTTCCCTCTTTCTTTCTCACTGTCTCTGTCTCCTCTCCAGTGAGCACATGTGCTCTATAGCAAAACTCTAAAAGAAAGGAAAATTTTTTTTCTTGTTTTTGGATATTTCAATCACATTCTGAGTGCTGGATTTGAACTGTGATTGCCACGTGGGACCCAGCTTTTCTTGAATAGCATATTCTGTTTTGTTTTGAGAATTATTTAGCTATAGGGTATGTGTACTCACCAGAGACAGAGAGAGAGAGAAACAGAAAGTGAAAAATCACCCCCCAGGAGGGATGGCCGTGCCGCAATCCCTTCTCTCCCATTCTCCTCTCAGGATTTTGCACATGTGCCTGGCGTCAGTTTCAAGCTGCCAGATCTGGGACTTGAACTGTGGTTGGCCATGTGGGAGTCCAGTGACGTAGCCATTATACCATCTGCTGGTCCTCACAGCACATTATGTTTGTACCACAAACCCACCTTGATATCATTTTTGATCAATGTATTTGTTTCTTAATTGCTGTAGGGTAATTAATGCCTGAGAGAGACAGAGGGAGAGGGAGAAATCACACCAGTGGGATGTGGTCACACCACAATCCCTTTTCCATTTTTCCCTCCTTTTGGGATTTTGGGCAGGCATACACATGCAGCCAGCATGCTTCTCAAGCCACTGGGCCTGGGACTTGAACCATGCAGTCTGCCATGTGGGATCTAGCTAACACCCACTTAGCAAGCCATGAGACCAGCCCCAATCAATGTATTCAGAGTAAGATCCTTCCAATTTAAGAAGTGACCTTGGACCAGCCCATAGCTGGTAGTTAAGGCAGCTAGAATGCACATGACCGACTGCACGGTTCAAGTCCCAACTTGGTGGCTTGAGAAGCACTCCAGACATGTGCATGAGCATGCCCAAAATCTCAAAAGGAGGGGGAATTGGAAGAGAGAGGTTTGGAGCATGACCACACCCCACCAGGGCATGCTTTATCACTTTTTCTCTGGAGAGCACATGTGCCCTCTAGCAAAAAAAGAAAAAAAGTGACCTTAACCACTGCCCCGGCAGAAGGTCTAAGAAGTGGCCAGCTTGCTCGGTCTTGTTCAGACCCACAGGTACTTATGTGAAACCAGAAATCATCAAATTCAAGGACTAGCTGTGGCATGCGTGGGGCCCAGTGCAAACTATAAATGTGAGGCCTCTACTAAAAATAATTAAGAATTTTGGGGCCAGCAAGTGGCGTGGTAGTTAAGGACACTGGACTCCCACATGGCCACCCATGGTTCAAGTCCCAGATCTGGCGGCTTCCTTTCTCACCCCCCCCCTTACTCTGTCTCTCTCTGGTCAAATTAAAACTAACTAAATAAATAAAGTTAAATTTTAAAAAATTCTAAAAAAAAATAATAATTAAGAATTTCAAAACAGTATCAACAGAATCTTAAAGTCCTGGCCCCCCAAGCACAGAGCCTCCACAGTTTGCACTGCCCTGAAGCCAGCCTGCCTGGTGCTGCTCGCAGTGTGTCTACTCGGGCAGGGAGGCAGATCCTGAGTCCAAAGCTAATGGAAGGCCACTGCCGTCTGTGACTGAGAGTGTTGTCTCAGATCCATTTCCAGGAAGGAAAAGTGCGTTCAGTGGAAAGTGACCCCCCAATCTCGGAAATACCTGATAACTGCTAACTGGCTTTTCCTGGTGGAGCATTTGCTGGGGGAAGGAAGATCAGTAATTTTATAATGGTGTAATTATGGGTGGTTTAATATAGGGGTGTAAGAACTGATCATCTGGTTAAATGTAGAAAGAGGTGAAGAGGGAATTGAAACGTAGCCAGTGGGCATTCTGGCATGTTTCAGAAACACTCAGGATGTGTCCTGAAAAGGGGAAGAAAAGGAAGATGTCTGACCAGATCGGCATGGTGAGAATAGGTGCTTCACCCAGCAGGTTTAGCATGTTCCCGGGCCTGAGGTGGATAGGAACAACACTTACAGAATGCTCTGTTGTAAGGTTTTCTCTCTCTCACTCACTCTCTTTTTTAAAGAATTATTTATTTTGGGGACCAGCAGGTGGCATGATGGTTAAAGGCACTGGATTCCCACATGGCCAACTGTAGTTTGAGTCCCAGACCTGGTGGCTTGCTTTCTCACTCTCTCTCTTCTGTCCCTCTCTGGTCTAACTGAAATAAACAAATAAATACATTAATAAATGAAGTTAAATGAAAAAAATTTTTTAAAAAAAGATTTATTTTGGGGACCAGCAGGTAGCATGGTGGTTAGGATGCTGAACACTCCCACATGGCCAACCACGGTTCGAGTCCTGGACCTGGTTGCTTGCTTTCTCACTTTCCCTCTCTCTCTATGTCTCTCTCTGGTCAAAAAAAAGAATAAATAAAAGTAAATAGTTTTTTTTTTAACATTTATTTATTCATTTCTTCCTTCATTTTAATTTGACCAGAGAGAGACATAGAGAGAGAGGGAAAGTGAGAGAAAGCAAGCCACCAGGTCCAGGACTCAAACCATGGTCAGCGTTGTGGGAGTGTCCAGCATCTTAGCCACCACGCCACCTGCTGATCCCAGAATTAAATAG